AATTTCCTTTTGTAAAATGCATCTTTACTGCAGCATAATGACAATGCATGTCATTCTGGATAATTTTAATATTTATAATCCATCAGAAAGGCATATTTACTACAGTTTTTCTCATAAGTATTTTGTTTTCTTTTTTTGTAAATTAAACAAAAAATTCAGTATGGTGAAAAAATTATTTTGCATTAATTTTTAGAGGATAAATAAAATCAAGTATGAATGAAAGTAACTGTATATTCTTTATCCAGTCATTTTGTGATATTGAATCATTATTGATTTTTGATTATTCTTTTCATTGTTGCTTCTTATCATTATTTTCTAGGCTGAATACTCTCTGAGCTTTAGAATGAAGTTAGCCTCCAATGAGATTTGAACTTGCATCCCATATGCTGGGAGATTATCTTTTTAGCATGACTCCTTAACCAATTCAGCCACAGTGAGGCTAGATGGAGCTGAAATCTACAGTCATATTGCTTTCTCCCTACTTCCAAATTCAATTTTGTTTGGTTTTACTATGTTGTAGTAATCTTAAATTATTTTGAATTCTAAAGACAAGTGAAAAATTAATAATGAAAATATTTTCAAAAATCAAAATAATGAAAAATATTCTATTTTTTTTTTTTTTTTTTTTTAAATATTTCAGAGAACATAAGGAAAATGCAAATAACTTCATCAGTTATAAGTTTATGCTATAAGTTAAAACAGGATTTGGTGTCAAAAAAACTAACATTTTGAAAATGAGTAGTAAAATGAACCAAATAATTAGTATTTTAAAAAAATATTGTGAATTTAAGTAATTGCTATTATTTATTATAATGACTTGGTATTAATTTTAAAATAATAATAATTCAACCAGTAGGTAGTTTATTTTTAATAATTTTTTTTTACCAATAATAAGGTGACCTAGAATCATAAATAGTGAAAATGCCATCATGTAATGTAACATTTTAGTGAAAAAAGCTTTTACCAAATGTGATAATTTGGGTCTTAAATAATACCCTAAGATCAGTTTAAAACTTTTAAATCTATTCTCTAAAATATAATTTTAAGAGTGAACATATGAAGTTTTATGACAGTAAAAATCATTTTTCAACACAGGTTTTTATCAATTTCTCTGTTCCTTTTCACAATTGTAATAATTAAAATGATTAAATTGTTAAATTCAACTCTTAAACAGAACTCACTATCTTCTTTAGAATTAATGGAGAAATAACATAAATGTTTCAGTTTGCCTGTTATTAAATTATTTAATATTGTATTTTGTTCATAATCAGATGACAGATTAATTTATTGCTTCTTTCAATCTCATGTTCATATTTTTGTTTTTGACCTTACCATGTCTTTTTTATTCTTAATTTCTGGTATATCTGAATCTGTACTTGCATGTTTTGTATATTTAATTATTTTAAAATTAATTCTTGTTTATTTTTCCCTTCCAATCCCATTTTTTCATTGGCATGGCATGTGATTGGAATTTATTGAAAACCTGGCAGATATTGATATTTTGTCTTTATTTGTTCTGTTTTTTATTTTTCATTAATAGTTTCCAATCTCTTGGCTCCTGTTTCATGAAAGATTATATTTTCTCTTTAATATTTTCTAATTTTAAAGTATTTTCTCAATTTTAACACTTTGCTACTTGGCTTTTATGTTCATTTAAAATATTTTGTATTAAATAATTTTGAAAGCCAAATAAATTATAGTTTCATTAAGATTATTAGCTTGAATGTTTTTAGAAAGCCCTTCACAGAAATAGTCTATACAAAGTAATATATTATGAGAATACAACATAATTTTACACAGTATACAATTATGTAACTTTATAAAACTGTACAAATAAGTACAGTATACCATAATTCCCCATGTATATGTCTTCATCCATAATACGCACCCCTAAAATTGTCCTTAAAGTGTGGGAAAATACCTCTACTCATGCATAATATGCACCTCTTGTTTGGTAATCAAACCCTATAAATTGTACCGCTCCAATTTCATTATGGCCAGCATTTCCTACTCTTATTTAAAAAAAAAATGGTTTTAAACATAGAATAATATTATTCTAATTTAGTTTTATGATAATTCTTATTTTATGTTACATTTGTAACTATTGTCAGGTACTCATGATTGTATTTGACATCCTTATGGAGTCGCAATCACTGAATGTTAGTCTCAAATTGTTGTATGTTTGTGGTGAGTAGTCATTTTGCAACTGAAATCAACCTATGAAATGGCAGTTTTTTTTAAGGATATTTTTTGTAGCTGTGTATAATACACACCCCTAATTTTGCTTATTATTTTTTTAGAAAAATGTGTATCATATGGAGAATTGTAGTCTATATTATGCAAAACATTATTTCTTACAAATTTATTTATAGTTGTTAAATCTTGTATATTTATTTGATAGGTGATCTTAATCAGTGCACCACTTTTCAGAATAGATCTAGTATCTTCAAAGTATTTTTAATAACAGGTAGTTTTGGTTTCACTTTTATCAAAATTATATACATTTATAAACAAGTGAATGTACCTAAAGAGCTTGATCTTAAAAATCAGAATTTTGAATTTACACTATATTTGATATTTTTATCATAGCCAAAAAAAATAAATCCTGTCTTCATTGTATAATTCTACTTGAATATGAATTCCCTGATGTAAATTAACAGAGCAAAAGTTCTTTTTTTTTCTTTTTAGCTGCCTTAGTTTTATTGTTCATTGTAAAATTGATTTTTGCTTTCTTTTGTCACTGTAACATTTTTTTAAATATAAATTCTTATTGTTAATTAAAAAAATGCTCAGTTAGTACCAAACTTAATTTAATCTAACAAGAGTTGCTATAATGACATTCTTTTCGTGAATGTAATTATTACCATAAACAGAGACTAAAATAGTAAATTTGGTTTATGAATTTTGCAGTAGTTGGGGTTGATTACTAATCATATTACTTGCAAAATATCATCACCATATAGTTTCTGTGTATGTGATATCTTTGGGAAGATGTGTGATAATGTCCCTTTTTGATTTTTTGCTTTTAAATGAATAAGGTTTATCTTGGAATAGATAGTGAACATCTGAAGAAATCTCACATTAAGTTCTCTGTTGATTTTGTTTTTAATCATGAATAGGATTGGTAACAGGGGTTTTCTCTGCATTTCGAATTGCTATATTTTTTACTATCAGTTTTAAAATTATACTTTTCCTTTATGTACAACTGGATTATTTTGTTAAGTTTGGTAATAAATCTGCAAGGATTAATCTTGAAATATAATTAGCTTATTAGTGATCTCTACCTTTTATGTGTGAATATATTCTTATCAAATCAGTAGAGTCAAATCTTTATCTTTTCCATTATGATCCACTGAATTCTCTGGCTTTATCACACATTCTTAAAATATCAACTCTAACTTCTGTTAAGAAGTTGCATTACTTTTTGCATTATAATTATGTGAAGAAAAAAGATGATCACATCTTTCATTGGCATGGAAATTCCCATCAGTTTAGATCCTGTATCAACTTAATAATCATTTTATGTCAAAGTCGTCTTTAGAAAGCTAGAGGTAGATTATAGGCACGGTTCTTTTCTTTGGAATCTTAAAATGTTGATATAAGATTAATCTATCATGCCTTACTCATATGTAAAGATGGGGGTAAGTTTAAATGTCAGTGAATGCAATTAATTAGAGGTGGACTGGAAAACAATACAAGATTTATTTTATTTATTTATTTTTTCTTGTGGGATGGGGATTATTATTTGAAGATTTGACAATATTTTGTGTCACTTTTCACTTGACAGTATTTTGTGTCACTTTTCATTTTGTTTTTATCATGAATAGGACCGGTAACAGGGTTTTCTCTGCATTTTGAATTGCTATGGTTTTTAATATCAGTTTTAAAATTGTACTTTTCCTTTATGTACAACTGGATTATTTTGTTAAGGATTTTACATTGAACATATATTTTTGGATAAGGACAAATTATTTTATGATACTAATTGCAACTTTATGTTCATAATCTATTTGGTTATAATTTGAAACAAATTCAATTAGTTTTTTTTTAAAAAACAAATTCAGGTAGTTTTTCAAATATTTCTCACATCACCTGAACATTTTCTTAATTATTCTACTAAATTAAGCCTTAATTTTCTTTATCAAGAATATGGAAAGTTGTTAAGATAATATTTATATTATTCTGTGAAATACAATTAAAATACATTTTTCAACTATAAATATATTTAAAAAATTTTTGCATATGTTTCAATGATATTTTTCTTACCAATGTGCATATAGAAATTTAATCATTAAAAACTGTAATTGTAATCATTTTTTAAGCTTTAAGATTGTTTGCAGATGAGTTTTGTCATGTTTTATCACCTCATTCTCTATCTCTGTATATATATATATATATATATATATATATATATATATATATACATAAAAAAGCCTTAAAACACTAATATTCCATGGTCATATTCCATATTTACCTAATATTATATATATATATATATATATATATATATATATATATATATATATATATATATATATGCACACTATAAAAAATATACCAACCATGACCATCTGTTGACTAAAGTTATTTTTTCTTTATATAGTAAAATGGTTTTTATCAAATTTAGGTGATTGGTCTTGTTTAAATGATTCACTTTTTACTTGATATTACATTTTATTTTTATTTATGCCTCTAAAAATCTTTTTTTCTCCTAGTTGTATGCTATTAACTTTATCCATTGATTGATCCATATAATTTGATTCAGCACTGTCTTGTCTATAAAAACATTTATTTTCATCTTATTCTGTTAACTGTTTTCTATTAGAGCACAGCTTTTACCCTTGCTTCATAATGGTTCAGGCACTTACTACTTTTTTTTTTTTTTTTTTTTTTTTTTTAATTTGTGTAATTCTCCTTTTGTCACAAAAATTGCTAACCTAACTCCCTTGTTTTCTACACGTTTGTTCTCCCCTCCATTAATGACACTCCTGGCCTGACAGGTGGTTGTGCCTTCTAGGACTGATGTTAAGGTAGGTAGCTGCTGCTGCTGCTGTTGCAATAACACTTATCTCCTCTCTTTTCAAGCCAGCCAGTTTTTTTTTCTTTCCTTCCCTGCACTGATTCTTTCATTTGTTTCCCCTTTCTTCCAGTCTGTTTTATACATCACTATCACTATGAGCCACTATTCAAAACTGGTTGTTGTCACATCATTTCAATTGCAAACAGTCTGAATTGCATATAAGATGATAGTATTATAATATTAACTGAAATTATCTAAAGCCTCAAAATAGTAGCAGTTTTTAAAAATTTCAAATCATCAAAATTAGACTAAATAAAAACTATTTTATTAAATTAAAAACTAATCATACCTAATCAATTTGAAATGAGAATGAAGCTAATCTATTGAAGTTTTTAAATTGTGAAATATATATGGAACACAGATTAAGGGAATTCAAAATTTAGGTTAAGCAAGTTATGAAATTCACAAATAATTATTTAAAAAATTAGGATAAGATTAACCAATCTGCAAAAAATCTACTATATTTAAAATATGAAATCATCCTCTGAATTTGAAATTAGCTCAAGGAATTTAAAAATCATCTTTTAATACATAATAATGCATGTATAGAATAATACAAAGTTAACTTGATTGGGAGATGAGTTATAATTTGTCTTTACAAAATCTGAAAGTAAAGCAAATGAATTTGCTATGAAATTGAAAAAATGTTCTTGTGAATTGAAAAGAATTTTTTTTTAAAGTTTGAAATTTAACAAAAATCACAAATCATTTTGATGCAATATTATGAAATATTGAATGACTTTGTACTTCTTTTAGATGAAGGAAATTATATAAAATAGAATATTATAAACAATTTACTTATGATGACTTAAAGTTATTACACTGATTAAATAACGTTTTGATAGAGATAAATTTGTTTTCTCTGGGCTATTCATTATCATTATTCCAGGAATAAAATATAACTATAAAAAATTAAAATGTATAAATTTTTTTTTTTTATTTACCTTATTTTAATGAAGTAAAACAGGAGACAAAAATTTGAATTTTGATTAAAATTGTCAGTGATTTCAATATTTTAAAAATGGTTAAATCATATAAAGGTATTCTTATTTAATTTAAACATTTCTGTTTGAAATTGTTTTTTTCAATCTGATTGCAAATATTAGTCTGTAAAAAGTGAAACTCGCCTGATGGTGATGTCTTCTAAAGAATTTTTTTTCTGGTTGCTGTGTGTATCCCAGATATTGTTTGCCTTGCTCTCCTTGATTATCTGTATTTATTATCTTTTTCTTTTCTTGTAACTAGTAGTTGCCTGCACTTTAGGCATTCTGTTGGGGTGTTTGGTGTGTGTTGTTTTAGCCTTTTTTTCCCTTTTTCCTCCAGCCTTGCCATGACAATATCAACTGTGGTGGTAATAACGGTTGTGGGTGTGAAGGTGAAATAGGTTTTTTTATTTGTATTACTAGTAGATAGCAGTGTACTTTGCTGCTGTAGTGATATTTGGAGCAGTAACATTTCTTTCCAACAATATTACACTTCTCTTTCCGTCAAATTGCTTCCCTGCCTTCAGGCCTTTTCTTCATTGACTAAATTTTTAATTTCTCTTTTACTTATTATTTTTTTTCTAGATGATGTGGTTTTTGGCTGTTGCCCTTTACTCCCTAATTGGTTGCTTTTTTTAAAAAAATTTTCCTATATTTTCTTTTATAAATATTTCTATCTGTTGTAATGATCATTGCCATTAATTTTATAGAATTTAGGATATGAACTTTCAATATCTTTATGCATATATTTTTCTCTTATCTATTCTGATAAGTAATCTTTTCATTCATTGAAATTATTAAATAATTTATAAATGAATCTGGAAATGATTATTGATGTAAGATTAACTGTATAATCATTTGTACATGTTGCCCAATAATAATTACTTGAACATTTGGTAATTAAAAAAAACAAATATATAAAGATGATATTAGAAATGAAATTAATGCCCCTTTTCTGCCTCAAAAATAAAATTAAAAGATAAAATTCACAGTAGTTAAACTCATATTTGATCATATGAATTGTGTTTCTTTCTTTATTTTTCTTTTTTCTTTTTACAGTAAGGCTCACCCTGTAGAAGGCCCAGGGGCCATGCAAGGTAGATAGAGGGTTATGTTAAGGGGTAGTTTATATGGATAGGAGGGGCATTAACTAATTAATTAAATGTTTAACTGTAGACTTGAACCAAAAAAAAAAAAAGGGATTTTTCTTTCATCGTTGTTCTTAATCATTATCACCATCATTATTATTATTATTATAAATAACACTATTCTTGTTAAACATTGATTTTAGAATACAAAAGTAGAAATCTAATCTCAGTGTCTTATACATTTCTTTGAGTAGTTTCTTTCATCTTGAAGTATTTGTTTTAATATTTTTTATCTTCTCTAGGCGAGACTGTGTTATTGTTGATCATGAAATAGAAGCAAAGTGCTAGTATACCATATTAATATATATGTAATATAAATTTCTACCATTTCTGTTTTGTCCATTTAATCGTTCACTGGGACCACATTCATGTGATTATTATGCTGTCATGCTTCCCATTGTGCCACAACACCTACATGATGTATATGAAATAAACACCATAAAAATGTTTAAAGTTATTGAACTGCTTTAATTATAACAGTTTCACTGATACCATTTTATGGTATATGCAAATCTCTCTCAAAAGAATGACTATGTAGTCCAGTGAAGCAAAGGAAAAAAACTTTGTCCATGCAATGCTGAATATCATTGTTAGTAATAAATAAATGTTGGTTCTTGCATTGGAAAATGTAGTTGCATACTTGCCATTTAAGTTTTAAAATGTTTGAATCATCTATTGAATTAGTTTAGTATTGTAACTGAGTTTGACTGCACTGTTTCCCTTCTCATTCACATATTTTATGCTACATAATGCACATGTAGCATGTTATGTATTACCTCTTATGCACATATGCAGACATTTCATGATGAACATCTAAAAACAGCTATGATATAAAAATGCATTATATTAGCTTACCAAGTTTTTATTATAAAATTTAAGTAATTTTATAATGGTAACTATGGCAGTTCATATTGAGCTAGCAATCTATTAAAATTCAGTTACTACAATAACCAGACCAACCTTATGGTCCATAAGGAATTTGCCGGAATTTAAAAAAAACAAAAAAAAAGAAAATATTTGTAGCTCTAATAAAAACAGAGGTGGCATTATATAAGGGTTCAAATATCAAAGGTAGCAATGAATATACTAGTTTACAGCTTAGGTAGGTTTTTAATTAAGAAGTTACAAATGAAAAATTCTTGAATATCATTGAAAGTAAAAAAAAGAAAAAGATTGCTCTGTATATGATATGGTTTATATGAACTCTTATTCCAACATCCGTCATTGAAAAGTTTGATATTAACCTTCAAATTTATGTGGACATAAAGTATTAGTTTTAAACTATTAATTTGCTTCATTTTCTCTCATATAATATATATATGATCATAACAAAAGTTTGCACATTTTTAAATGAAGTTCAAAGACAATATTTATGTATTTGTACATTGGTTTATTCAACCACATATGTGCCATTTTGTCACACTATCTTTCACCATCTTTGAGGTAGCTTCATGATCCTATTCTCTTAGAACTTGGCATCTTTTTGGGTGGTGAAGTGATGTGAGTGGCTTTTATAGGATTCCAAAGAATTTAAATTCTTCCCATTAAGAGAATTTTGAAGGGATCTAAATAAGTGGTAATCCAAAGATACAATGTTAGGTAAGTATAGAGGGTGCAGTAGAACTTCCCATAAAAGATGTACTAATTTATGCCATGTCTTCAAAAAGACATAAGGTTTGGCATTGTCCTGATGAATGACAATGCTTTTCATCAATTGCTGCCTTTAATCAGACCAGTTGGTAACAGTACTTGTCTGAATTCAACACCTGATTTTGTAGAAGGAACTTGTAAAACAAAATGCCTTTCCAATCACACTAGATACACAGCACCACCACCTTTAGATGCAGACTGGCTTTTGGAGTGGTTAATGGTGGTTAATTTCATTTTTCCCAGGACTTTTTTGCTCCACATAACAATCCATTATTTTTCATTGTCTGTTATCATTTTATTAAAAAATGGGTTGTTTTTGTTGTGTTTGATCAGAGAATTGTAGATGGAAATGTGGTTCATTCAATTTTTTCCTATTAAATTTTGAAGCAATCACACATCACACATTCATGTATCCAAGTGTTTTCAAATGCCTTACAACACTCATATGAAATATGTGGAGTATCTCTATTATGTACCATGTCAATTGACCTGGATTATTTTTAATCAATCTTTTGATTTGGTCATCATCAATAACTTCAAGTTTGTTGGAATATTCATAGTCTTCTCAATCAAAATTTCCACTTCTGAACAGTATTCTCAGCTATGGCACCATCTCCATAAAGGGCACATATCTTTTTTTGCTCTTACTTCTTCTTCTTTTTTTTTTTTTTCTAGAAATAAGTATGAAATGACAAAAACGTATCACATTTTCCTCCATTTTCATTTGTTTTATAAAAATGTTCAAAATTCATGATCTACACATGAATTGTATAAAAAAATGTGTTGAAATGTAACCTTTCAGAATAATTATACTTGTTATAAAGTTCAGTCACACATAAAACGAAATCACATGTTCCAAAATCACTTACTTATAAATACTGTGAAATTTTGTTCTAAGCATATATATATATATATATATATATATAATGCATTAAGGAAATTTCAGTTTTCTTAGTGGAAGGAATTTACCATTTCAAACTAAGATTCATTTTCTAACTAAATTTCATGTTTATCTTGTAAAATATTTCATGGATAGGTTTTGGATAAAAATGATTTTCTAATCTTTCTTGCTTGACAAAGGTACATCTAATATATACACACATGCACACAGATAGTTTCTCTCCCATTGTTGTTGTTACTAAACATTATTCTGTATATGTTATTTTCTTTCTGCTTTATGAATTCCTTTTTTTTAGAGTCTTCTAATTCCTTTCATTTGTTTTTATTTTGCTCTAGGTAAGATTCATTTTTAGCTATTAGTGTTTTCTGCATGTCCTTGTGTTGTGATATTTTAATTAGCATTGAGAATAAATGCAAAAACATTTTTTTTTTAATTTAGGTACAGGTGATTAATTATTCCCATCTTAATCAGTATCAAATGCACTACCATTTTTTTGTATAAAATACATTAAAATTTACACATTAAAAATTCAAAATTAGAAAATTGGAATTAATGTCTAATTTATAGTTGGGATTCAGTTTGACTGTTTGGTTCATCATGCATATTTATGTTTTTCTGTGAGAAGTTTACTCATTATCTTCTAATCATTCACTGTCTACTGGGATATTCACATTACATAAAAGTTTACAAATAAGACATTTATCATTTTAAACTAAAGAAAACTCCTTATAAAAATAAGTTACCAAATAATTATAGCTTGAATATTTTTCTACTTGATTTTTTTAAATTAAATATTTTATTAACTTTGCAGTTTTTTTTCTTGTATCTAAAAATACAATGTAAACCATACAAAAACATTTTATGTCCTTTTAAAACTTAAAAGTAGATATTTCCCAAAACAGATAAGATTTTTGCATAGAGCATTCTGCCAATTCCAAAGTCATCTCTTCATTTATTGTGCAGATTCAATTTTCTTTCATTTTTATGATAAAGCAGAACAAAAGAGCAATTCTTGTATATGTCTGTAAGCTAAACTATCATTATCAAATTGAACATTTTTATTTTTCCTTTATTGGACTAAAATGCTTAAAGTATTGGCGAGAAATAATATTCAAATATTAAAAAGAAAAATAGTACAAAGGTGTGTTTAAGTTTCACAGCAGATATGAAATTTTAAAGATCATAATTCTATACTATTGCCTTGAAGTACTGTAATTTTCCCCTACTTCTATATTTCCAGTACCAAACTTAGGCTGTTGATTAGAATTTTGCCTTTATGGACCTTTCAATATCTATGTTGTTTCATTTCAGGAAAAAAAACCCCAAAAAACAGTTGTTTTAGTTCTTCATTTTTAACCATTGCTATGTCTTTATTGGTTCTGTTAATAACATTGATTTTATCCTGGATTGTTTTTACTATACATTCCTTTTAACAATCTTTCCTTTTTCCTCCCCTTTTATAAGAACTTGCCACTAGAGTATCATTTTTAGTATATTTTTTCACTTTGGGATCAAAACTTAATTTAACTTCAACTGTTGTTATTCCAGTCTTTCATCACTATATTCAGTAGCTTTAAAATCTTTTTCAATAAAAGTTTGTGCAATAATTTTTTTATGTAATATCCTGTTTCCAGAATGTTAGCATTTTATTTTACTTCTTAAATTAATACAATTCAGTGTATGGCTTTTGTTTCAAGTTGTATTTATTTGAAATAATTTTTATGAAATGCTTTTATTTTTTTCTTAAATTTTAATTTCTTTCAAAAATTTTAAAAATCTTGTGTTTATAATAAATAATTAAAAAAAAATACTAATTATTATTTTTCTGGTTTTCATTTTTTTTAAGGCCGTTCTGTCCAGGAAGGGTGGCATCATGGCTTCCCTCTATAACTCCCAGCCTGCTGACCAATCAATGACTCTTGACCTTTCATTAGAAATCAACAGTAAACTGCAGTCTGTGCTGGAAGACACTTTGTTAAAGAACATAACCCTGAAGGTAAGATTTGTCAAACTTTAAGCATTTTTATTGCATTTCAATTTTATCACCATAAGCATTATTTTTAGTGGATACTCATATTTGAGTAGACTATCTGTTTATTAAATAGTATATTTATTTATTTTCATCTACTGGCCTAAATATTTAAGAAATCTTATTAAAGAAAAATATGTGCTCTCTGGTAGGATTTGAACTCTGCATTCCCCAGGGCAGAAGGAACCATCGTTATATCCAAGATTTACCAACAGAGCTACAAAGAACATTTACCAATCAAGCAAGGCTGAATAGTGCCATTAAGTGAAATTCTTGTCATAGATTCTCAAAATTTCATATCTGCTCAGTTTCATATCCAAGTGTAAACAAAGCAATTTTTAAAGTAATGGATTTGAACCTGCATCCCTGAACCTGGGCAAAAGGAACTATCATTAGATCTGACATGCTTTAACTGACTGAGCTATGAAGAACTTTTGGCTTTAAGTGAAATCCTTCTCGGCATAGAGCTTGATGAACTAGAAAATGATAAAGACATTTTCATTTTCTAGTTCATTAAGAACTAGATAATGAAAAAGAGATATTTTGTAAAAGTATAAACTATTTAAAGGAATTGTGGAATATAATAAACCAGCTTTTTCATTGTATTAAATATAGAGAAAGAACAAAAATGATAAAATATATTCAAGAATATCTTAATAGGTACAAAATGTACCTATTAAGCAAACATTGATAGTATTAAACTATAAGGTATTGTTCATTTATTAAAAAAATTCTATATATTTTTTCTATTTTTATTTTCAGGACAGCCTTGATACACTTGGCAAGGAGATTGCTCGCCTCTCTCAAGAAAACAGACAGCTTCAGTTGCAGCTTCAAAACAACAAATGATAATGTGTTCAATATGTTGGCAGTTGTTGCTGCTTGAAAATATGGTAGAAAACTTTCCCCTGGAAAATCGGTGGATCATTTTAAAAACTGAGTAACTGTCACAAGACATTCCACTTAATATAGAAGATGTTAGCTAAGTTGTATCTGACACCCTATCACCAGGCTATCATCTTTTAATTTTATTTGCTGGAAATTTATGTCTTATGATGCCAACACATTTTTATGATTCTAAATGGAACTCCACAGAACTCTTTTCAAATGGATTCCTGTCTTTAATGCCATTGTAGGCATAGTAAAATTTTCTCTTGATTTCTTTGATACACAAGAGAGGACCAATTTTTAATGAAATATTTAAAAAAAAAATACAAAAAAATGAAATCATTCATGGATTGATAGAATAATAGCTTTATTGATTTGCACAAAGTTGGGTATTCACTTTCATTTTCATTTTTGAATGAAATCAGCAAATTTTCATTCTTATTTTTTCTTATAGTGTAGGGTTTATTGATTATCATCAGTTTGTGTCATTCCCAAATGAATATAATGAAATATACTGATTGAAATGAAAAATTGATCATTAGAGTGAGTGTACAGTATGACAATTCCTGTAATAAGAGAAAATTATATATAAAATGAATACTAATTAATAATTATAATCTGGGTGATGATCAAAATAAATTTTTGGAGAATTTTTTAACAATTTGCTTTCAATGGCTATTAAACGGATTACTTACAAGCATAAACAACAATAGCATCAACTATGGACTGATAATGTTGTATTTTGTATAGTCCAACCTGATAGATCTTTATTTATTTAAATATTTTTCTTTTTGTGTTCACCAATGTTTAGTATTCTCTACCTTTCTTTTTCTCTTTATTTCTCTCCTGTTTGTAAGTATGTGTGCACAAAAGCATGTGAATATTCAATGCATTTCAGAATATTAGTGTGTATATGGTATTATTAATCTTTCTATTTATAACATGAAAACAATTATACACACTGTAACCATAAAATCATATGCTTGCATATATAGATTATCATACATCAGTACATTTAAATGAATACACAATAAATGGACATACAATTTTTACTTACTATTTTTATATTATTATATCTTGAACAATTTTTAAAACACTCTTGTTGCTATGCCATAAATAATGTAAATGCATGCTGTAGAAAAATTATTACTAATGAATAATAATAATAATGTGTCCTTTCTTTTCTTTAGCAGTTTGCCATTTTTCTGTTTATGATATGAATCTAAATGCCTCCCCTATGAAATACTATAATTGTATTTCTATATTCTTTTCAATGTATTTTTTTTTTTTACTTTTCTAACTCTGTTTATGTTATGCATGACTTAAAGAATTAACAGAATATCCTGTTACCATTATTATTTCTTTTAAAGTATTATCAGAATAACATACAAATCTTTCACTGAAATTTACTCAATACTTTTTACCATTGTTGATCATCAGAAATATGGCACTCTGCAAAACTATAATTATTACTATTGGTTGTGTTGTTATGTTGTCATTATCACTGCAGTGGGCACAAATACAGGAGATCATAAAGGTAAATGTATTTATTTTTAACTAACCATAATTATTTTGTCTCTTAATAACAGTTATGGTCTTGACTCTAATCTTATCTCTTTGTGATTTTCATTTACATTCAGTTAAGTCCTTACACAAATGATGAAAATAATTACAAAAAATATAATTTTAGATATTCAGTGTTTAACTAACAAACAAGAAAGTGTCTTATTGATATTTTGATATTTCTTCATAACAGATGAAAATATTAAGTTGATGAAATAAGTACTGAAATATCAACAAAATTAACCACACTTTCTTGTTTGTTAATCAAATATTGAAACTAAAAGTATATTTTCTGGAGCAACTTTTATCCTTTGAGTGAGCAGATTTTATCTCCTTTTGAATTTACTGTAACTATTAATTACAAATCTGTTCACATAAACTATGTTTAAATTATATTGAGGTCTTTAATTTCCAGATTTTTTTATTATTAATTTAATAAATTTAATATTAGTTCCTGAATTATTATTTTTAGATTCTTTGATAATACTGTGGTGATAATATTTTTTTTTATATATAATAGCACAACTCTTGTAATAATTTTTTTAATTATCCTAATTTTTATCATTGTACAATAATTTTATATTTGTTATGAATAAATTAGTTTTACATTAACAGATTTAAGGTAATAGATTTTCTTAAGGCTCTTCAAAACTACATATCACTTTTTCCATAACTTAAATCCATACTTTTATTTTTCTCATTCCATATCTTCACAGTTGCTCATTTGCTAGCCTTATACTATATCTAATCTGTTTATGAGCATGTGAAATATCCTTTTGACATTTAATATTAACATTTTCATCCTCAATCTTTTGATATAAAGGCATACCGTTATCAAGGTGTTATTATGGAATTTAAAACTTACTCACTGAAATAATTCAGCAGTGAAAATAACATGCATGCATAGAATTGTCTTTAAAAAAAGAAAAAAAAAAGGAAACGCTGATTAAAACAATTAGAGAATCTTATTGTTTTAAAAATACTGGTTTAATTTATTTGTTATCTCTTGTGTCCCCAGTTGGATTATAGTTGACAGATCAACATATATTTTGACAATTTATAATTTATTTGGTAAATTATACTATTTATTCTTCTTTTGATTATTATCTATCTTAAAATGGGTAGCATTAAAAACATTTTTTCTTAGAAGATGTTGGCTTCTAATAGAATAGAAACAAAGAAAAAAAAAATCTCTTCTCAACCAATACTTGAGATATGTTTTTATTACTCTCAATTGACTAGTAAATATAACTGAATTGATTATTTGCAAATAAATTAATCGTGTAAATGTTCATAGTGTTTAGCCTAACCATGAAGTGGGCATTTTTTTCACCAACTCTTCCACTCGGTATTTAAAATACTAATGAAGTCAGTGAAATATGCAGATACTGTAGATACCTCTTAACCTTTATCACTCTGCATTATTTACGATTATGACAAAGCGACCCCCACTCCTGACTTCACCTGACAAGTGTAGTAGCCTTTTTCTCGATTATACTATAGCTAGCAAAAATGAATTTCAAATATAGTATTGTTTGGGGATCAGAGTTGTTTGCTGTAGAAGAACAAACCTTTTGGTGAACAAAATTACTGCCAGAGTGTTTTAAAGGTTAATAAAGTTGTATTCCCAGCAGGGAACTATCTAGTTGCTATAAATAGGATTTTACAACTTTTCAACAGATACTTATGTATACTAATAATTTTTATCATTCAGTTTTAATTTTAAACATGTTCAATTTAATTAAGCAAGTTCATTTACTTTTTATATGAATTAGGTAATCTCAGGTAGATAGAGAACTGTAGCTATAGAGATATTTTTTGATAAGATTTTTGTTCTCCCCCCTGTTACTATCTCTCTTATGCTCATTGTTATCTATGTTTATATCTTATGGATCTTATTGCCTTATAAGATCATATTTCTTTCTGTGTTTCTGATGCTTAAACCATTCAAATCTTTCTCTCTCTCTCTCTCTTTCTCTCTCTTTCACACACACACAAATGTATAAACAGGGGTTTGGGTTTGAAGATGAGGGAATTTTGCTGATATTTCTGTAAAGTATTATCATTCTTTTTATTTACATATATGTACATATGTTGTTATGACCTTAATTTCAAACATATCAACCAGATGCTAACATTGCATTAAAATTAGTATGGCCTCTGCCAGTTATATCCGGAATCCTGAATTGTTCTGAGTTTCATACTTGTAAAGTGGAAAACATGAACTTTTTCTTTCCATGTTTTTAATGCTTAAATGTCATGTCATGCAGCCTTTGTCTGCATATTAACATGTACTTGGACTGCATGTGAGCAGAAGGACTTACTATGAGTTATATTATAAAATTCCTGTAAAAAGTAAAGTGTAAAAAAGAAAAGAAAAAAGGAGCCTTGAGTACCACCAATAAAATATCTTATTAAATTATGGATTTTTTCTCTTACTTTTTCAAGTTCATTGATGTTATTAATGTATTTTTATTTTCTGTGTGTAATATTTCTTATATGATAAAATTTGAGAAAAATGTGGTTAATTTACAAATTGTTGAACAAGAAATTTAAAGAAGTTTTTGATAAACTAGATCATCTCAAGAAATTTTGAACAGTGATATTTAAATTTGCTTAAAAGAACATAATCATATCATTTTGTTGATTTTTCAACAAATAAAGATGATAATGTAAGGGAGAATATGTTTTCATTCTTGTTTTTATCATTTATATTATTAAGTATCTCGTATTGTCATGATAGAAGATCTGCCAATGTGATTTCATCAATAGAAACATTGTTTCAGTCTAATAAAGTCCTAAAGGATGAGACATGTCACACAAAATGTTTTCTATTTTATCATTAATTTAACTAATATAGTATATAGTCTGTAAAATAAGCATATGTCATTGTGTACAATAGTATTTGTTGTATGGCATATTAATACAAAAGCCTATGATAAAAAAAAAAAAATTTAAAAAAATATTGGTTAACAACTCCTTAATAAATTTAAAGAAGTCTCTGGTCATAATAAAGGTACATTAATACCTATTAAAAGGTTTTGGTTGTCAGTTAAATGAAATAATTTAAAGATTTTAATAGTGACACTATAGAGTACCATGCAAAAGTCTTCAGTCACTTATAATGATTGTAAATTTGTAATAATTGCTAGTTTATAAATAAATGCTCAATTTTGCATCTTTTAAAGGTGATGAAATATTGACCCTTTATGAATTGTATCTATACCTAATTATTTTGTTTCATTGCAGACTTTCTGAATGAGATGAGATGGGGGGGATGTGAGAGAAACTCCTAAAAATGGCCAACATATTTCAAATACCAGATAAGCTTTAATGAGTAAATTCAGTGGGGGGGTATATCTTGCATGTTTTCTATTGGATTAATTTATGGACAGAGG